ATATACCCATGTTATGGCAACTGAACCCAAAACCCTATGCAAGCCCCATAGAACCCCCGTAGAGCGAAGCCAGATTAACTTCATCGAAACTCCCTACTGCTGATACTATAAATCCTGCATGCTCTTGTTATTACATAGTTCTAACACCATCCATGATTCGCAAGGCAAAAAGAAACGGGGTCATGCAGGATTGTAAGTATCAAGCCTTACGGACGCGTTTATAACTCCAGCTTCCATTTCTCGTTCCATGTTCTTTTCCATTTGATTCTCCCTGATAGGGGAAATATGGACCATAACCTCAGCTTCCATGGCAGTTTACATCTTCTTTTGCATTCGATTCTCCATTATGTAAGCAATATCTATCCCTAAACCCTAATCTCTAAACCCTAATCCCTAAACCCTAGCTTCGGCTTAATCCCCCTTTTTTGCTGTAACACCAGCCCGGAAGCTGTCTGTCCCAATGCATCGACCTGGTCCAGGTTAGCTTTAGCCTCGACTAAGATGCGCACCATGGCCGCATTACCTGGGTTGTTGATGGGCTTTGTAGGGCATATATAATGTAGCATATTCTTGCTTATTGTGTTCAGGTCCCAAACTAGTACGTGGTATAACTCTGTTTTTCTTACAGAACCTCACCATCCCCCACGGAAGAGCTTATATATGGGTATGTAGGGAGCTGCAAAAAGACAAAGGAAACCACTGTATCATCTAGGGTTTATGGGTTTATGGTTTAGAGCTTCTAACACCCCCCCTGCCCCCCAAATAACGAATACACCCAACATAGTGACATAGTACCGTTAGTTAGGATTGGGGGAAATATCTATCACTATGGGCTGGGCGGGGCTCAGAAGCGGAGGGGATTGCCAGGATTTTTCAGGAGCTCCTTCAAGTCCTTCAAGCAGCTCATTTCAGGTTATAGGGATTCTGTCAAGATTTTCTAGGGTGTGTTTAAGCTACATTACCACAACATGGACACATATAGGGTAACTACTGGGGTCTCCTTGTTGTATAAGCTTGTTTTAACAAGTTCCTTAACACCTCGTATAACCCCACCTGATCCTCTAGTATGTCAAGTTCCTCGAACAGCAACCCCTTTACTCTCTTAGGTCCGCATCCCTTCAGTAGCGGCTGTGCAACCGTAATTCGAATCGTAATAGGACCCTAGGCTGGGCATCCCTATGTGATGGAATCTATTTTAACCCTTAGTGAGGGTATTTGTCAGCAAACGCCTCTGGGGTACAAACCGTATACTTACCCTGAACCCTAGATCCTAAACCCTCAAGGGCACAAGCTTAAGGTCCTTGAGCTACTGTTTTGAACTGCCAGGTTGAGGGCGAATTGGCCAAAGCGGTCAATTGAGTTTTGGTCCGCACCGGCCTCCAGCAATGGTTTCACATTGGGATGCGATCAAAGACTGCACAGCTTTTTAATCTTCCATCTTGGTTTGTCATGTCATGGAAATACAGAGAAAGTTAACTTTGCCGCAGCCTCCAGCAATAGCTTCACGTTCTCGATGTGCCCCTGTCGACATGCCACGTGCAGCGCCGCATAGCCTTCACCATCCAGCAAATTGGGATCTTGCGGACGCTGAAGCAACTCCTCAATCCAGAAATGGTCAGGCCAAGTTGCTGCAGCTGTCATTTCGAACATGTCGGAGTCGGAAGCATCTGTAAAGGGAAGTAAAACTAGCTGTAAGTCCATGGGTACATCCAGGGTGACAGTATCATAGAGCGGCACACCCTCGTGTAACAGCCGCTGCCTGAATCTTGTCAGCCCACAAAGGCCTTGCAAGTGCAGCTTCAGATTTTTGACGTCCGTCAGGTTCTCGACAGGCAAGCTTGCAACTTCCTCCCCCGACGTCAGCCAAACACGCAGCATAGCGAAGGTCCAAGGGCTGTGGGAATTTCTCAGAGTAACGTGAGTACCATCCTTACGAAGGAGGATATAAGCACTGTGCGAACCTTGTATGGCCCTAGGCTCTTCAGGGGCCTCACTTGGTTTTGAGAACCCTGCCCAACATGTCTCGGCTGCGAGGTGCAATGGGCCAATTGATATGGTTGAAGATGCAATGCTAATAAAGCCTTGACCTCAAACACTAGCCACCCAACTACTAAGTTGCACTAGTGTAGAATATGGCTACATATCTTTGGACATGTGCTAGTGTATTGATGCATACATCACTTTTCATTACCATAAAGAATAACGCTAATACTGATGCTATCATGAAACCCTAAACAGCGATTGCAAGGGCCTTTAGCTTGCAATTGGCTTCTGGGCCTGAGCTGCCACACACCCACGCCCACAATCCTTAAGTCATAGCCAGGCCCTCGAATGTGTATTCTCCCTAAACCCTCAAACCTAAACCTCAAGTCAAATCCAGGAAATACCCCTAAACCCTGGAACCCTAGACATAGCCAGGTAATGTCCTGCAGCCTCTCATAACTACCACTGTAGATACATCTTGTGTTTCGAAATACACCTACCCAGCACACTCTTGAGCTTTCTCCAAAGCCGAGTAGGAAGCCGACATCCTCAATGTTGAGCTCATCCCGGTTTGAGGATGTTGAAATTTTTCCTGGTTGTTATGGCGGTGGCGGTGGCGGTGGCGTGGCGGCGGCAGCGGCGGCGGCGTTGGCGTTAGCAGCGCGAGCGGCTGCCATGTAAAACCTGGAACCCGAAAGATTGTGCCTCCGTAAGCCTTAAACCCCTACAACCTATTGGGAGGTTTCCATTAAAAAGGGGCCTAATATAGACTCCAACATACCATGGTCCTGTCTGAAAGGACTTCCAAAATCGATATGCCCATTTAAGATATCAGAATTGTTGGCGGAATGTATCGGTGGCCTAAGCCCTTTACCCCTGTAAGCTTTAAATCCTGGACCCTAAACCTGAACCCTAAATCCATGAGTCATCTAAACCCGAAACCGTGTGTGGCGTGGGATTTCTCAGTGGCCTGTCCGCTCTGATCTTCGTCCAATGCCTTGAAGAGAGCCTCCAGCTCTCGCCTGTAAACAACCCAGCCAGGGGCTTTTCAATACTTCAGGCGGGGATCTCGCAAACCCCTTATCCCTAAACCCTGAACCCAAAACCCCCAAAACCCACACCTTAAATCCGTGGGGTTCGGGGCTCTGGGGCCCCAAAGGCTCGGATCTGAAATGACTGGAGCCTGCCACCATTCTGATACCCTCCCCTTCTAATGAATGTCAACCTTCCCATATAATTCCACTATAAAACGAGGGAATTGGGGAGGGGGGGGGGGTGATTGTTTAAAGGCGAGTACAACAATCATATCTAGGCTTCTTGTTGAAGGCAGAATACGAGTGCAAGGGTGATCTTGGAGGACTAAACCCCAAACACTCAACGCTAAACCATGTGCATGTGTGCTTCTCTCCCTTCTTGCTTTCTCCGTCGCCATGCAGCTGGCTTCGGCATAATCTCTGAAATGAAGTTATAGTATATTCCTTCAAGGTACCCCAACCCCCTTGACATCCCCTTACATATTAGGGTCCCCCCCCACTTTAGTCCGTAGCTCACATGAACACTTAGGAAGTGGATGGTTGTGGGGGCCGTATTGTTTCTGGGAGTGGTCACCTCCTCAGAACATTAACACCTTCCACCCTCTGATATCCAACGTGCCAACCAGAATACAAAACCTCTTAGAGGGAAAATCAAAAAGAGGATGAGAAAATGCAAAACCCTGTTATGAGGAATATCTTTTGCTAAGGGTGAAGGGTGATAGGCGGAGATGATTATGTACAGCTACTCGGAGTTAAAGTGCTCAAGCTTGTGCCGTCGGGCTGTGATGTTGCAGATGCTTCCAGAACCCGATGCAGTCTTCTGGGGTTTCCAGAAATTAGGCCTCCCTTTTTGTCAGCCTTTAAATATAGTATTAAGGGTACGGACCCCTGTCTCTTGGAAAAAGCAACCGCCTCTACCGCTTCCCTGAGAATCAGAATTCCAGTAGTAGGGATCTAATTTCAAAATGTGACCCCAGGTCGCCCCCAACATGTGAAAGGACAGGTTCCAATTCTGGCTGCTTACCGGTTGGCCGCCAAACACCCTAAACTCCGGACAACCTGTGACGGGCATAAAGGGATCCGTCATCGACTTCGCTCAGACATAAGTGCCGCAGCTCCACCAAGATACCCAGGCATGGTATCTTTGTGCATAGCCAACAAAAGCAGAAGCAGGCTCAGCGCTTTCCAAATGCAAACAGAAGCAGAACCAGAACCCCATGAAGAGGATACCTCCCCCTGACCTTCCAAGTACCCCAGTCACCCTTCTGCAGCCCGAGGTGCAAATCCTCTTCCTGTGCTGCACTGATTCAAGTGGAGCCCAAAAATCCCAATACCACCCAGTTTAGAAAAATGTCGTGACTTCCTGGTATGATTTAAGGCATATTCCTGAATCGAAGCGCGTTGGACACTCTGAGAAAATACTTAGGCGTCTTGAGGGACTGGGGTGATGCAGTCAGGCGATCCTCGAAAATATTAATAATATTATTGATAATAATATTAATATCATTAATATTCATATTAATAATATTCATATTATTAATATGAATAATATTAATAGTCATATTAATGGGTTCGTGAGTGTATGCGCCTTAGCTGTCCAGCATCTAGGGCGGCCTTACAATCAACCTTTTGGTTCGCATCGGGCTTTAAAGTACGCAGAAAGGTGCAAGGCTACCCACTGGGCAGCCAAAGCAGCTGCCTGATCTTGGACCTTCTTAGGGGTGCTTGCTGCGAACGAACGGGCTTTAGGACACGGCTTCAGGGTATATAGTCTCTCTTAAGTAGATAGAATATGCGGTATATGGAGATCTTATTAAAATATACCCAAAGCCATATTCTATCTACTTCAGGGGGACTAATTATCGCCTCTAAACCCTAAACCGTAACCCTACATTCTCTTTACTTAAGGCGGACTATAAAGTTTTACTGGCACACACCCCAAACTATGGAACACATATTGTGACAAAGCTCACTGGAACCCCGGAGTTGCTTGAACTACTGCAGTATATGTGAGCTATGGTCTAAACTCCTTAAAGGGGGGTTATAGAGGGGATTATATAGGGGACTACTATAGGGCTTATTAAGGGGGATACTAGGAGTTTAGACAATGGCTCATGTGAGGTTGTATAAAGATACTCTAGGAATATTAAAGGACTATCCTAATATATTATCGCATAGTTTTGTATTTTTCTGGTATTACATTATGGCATATTCTAATATATTGGGGTTACTAATCATAATCGGGATAATCGAAAAGAAAATGGAAACTACCACAAGGGTTTTTTTTTTATAGGATTTAGGGTTTAAGGTTGGGGTTGTATGGGGATAATGGGAAAGAAATGGAAACTGCTATTTAGGGCTATATACAAAGACATTACCCCAAAAAGGGAGAAGCAAGTGGGAAATAGAATTGAACATGAAATGGAATCTGGGGGTATAGATGTTGGGGTAATATTGGGCCCCAAACCCGAATTAAACCCTAAACCCTCTGACTCTCACACCGATCTTTGTAGACAGAACCTCTTTTTTTTTGTAATCAGAAACCCATGGCGTCCGCATTTGCTCGTCACCCGTTGCCTACCCCGTCTGGGTAAAAATGTTACAAGACACTAAGTGTTATCCATTATAGAGCGTAGGGTGTAGGGCTAAATACAATAAAGCAAAATGGGGCCTATATCATGTGACCTGGTGGTAACTCCGCTTTTTCTCACCCAGAGTTCACGGCTCGGGGCAGCTGGCACCTAAAACCCTAAAATGCATACACCCTTAAGCCCTGAAACATCAACTCCTGAGCTCCAACACCCCTATATAAGCCCTAAAAACCACACACCCACAACTTCTGTATCCTAATCCTTACGCCCCTACACAACCCCATAACCCCATCATCCCCACAGCGCTCAACCCTAAACCCCAAACCGTTAAGCCCAAATCCTTGTTACTATAATCCTAAACCTTAAACCCTAAATTGCAGTTTCCATTTTCTTTTCCATTATCCCATATTACCCCAATNNCCCCCCCCCCCCCCCATATTCCCCTGAACAACTCCGCAGGATCCCGCTGCTGTTGCATCTGCATCGCGAGGTCGGCTTCATCGGCCGAACTCATCTCTAAAGCCTGCACAAGGGGGGATTCATGGGGACATACGTGGATAATGGAAAAGAAAAATACAAACTACTATGTTCTAATAGGGGTGTATATATGTATATAAGGCGATCAAGGTTGGTAAGGTAGGAAGGGTTAAGGGTTTGGGGGATCTCCTGCTCATGATAAGTCCCAAGCCTAAACTATAGCATGCTTCCGGCTATCTCCTGTACACTTACCCTGCGCCCTAAACCTTAAACCTCCAAACCCCAAACCCTAAGCCTAAGAAACCTAAAGGTCGGGTAAGGCCATCAAAATTTGGTCAGTTCAAAGCCTGCTGGACAATGACAGCGGTCACTAGGTTCAGCAGCACGTACGAGGACCTGGGTAGGCATGTTAAGAAACACCCGGGCCATGAACATCATTATTAAGCCACATAACTTCTTATTGGGACCCAAAGAAGGGTGGATTAAGGGGCTAGTGAGGTCTAATAGCCATACGTACTGGTCTTGGAGACTCTCACAAATGGCACCAACAGTTTCTGAAAATCTGCAGATTCAACCTATATACCACCTTTATATGATATGTCCGCCAAATGTACCACAAGGCCCCCAGGGGGTACTTAGTTGGAGTCCTTCAAAACATGATTCCATCATTTTCTAGTCTATATGCCAACCAGCCGCTATTTATGTAAGGCTAAAAACAATGAGAATTTGGTGAATTCAGAAGCCAGAAGAAAAGGAAGCTGCACCATTTCAATTTTCATCTCTGCACCATGAA